TGATATATATTTTACACACTGCTCTTCTTTCTGCACGGACCTCACAGCTATTCACTCAGTATAACAGGCCTCCATTACTCTCTGTATGCTGTAGTTTAGTAGNACAAATCACCCTTTTAAACTTTATTCTTGTTTTACTGTCATATAGTATTTCATACCTGTTTTTCATTTATTCTCTTATTTTTTTATAACTATAATGATCATATAAACGTGTGCCTCGGAAATAATTGTTTACATTAATGGTGACCCACTGAGATAACACTGAGAGAGTCCTTTAGTTCACTGAGCCTCTCAGTCTGACAGGAGGGGACTCTCCTCCACTTTGTTGTTGAAAAAACTCCTTATATCCGTTAGCGTAGCTCGCTAGCACCAGAAGCTAACAACAACGATTTCCAGTACCGGTGCGCTCTCTCTCTCTCGCACGCGCACACAAAATGGCTCGTTCCACACACACACAGACACACACAGAGCCGAGCTTTAATGAAACAGAGACTCAGACGTAATAGTACTGTACTTCATCATATTATAAAAAATTGTGAACCAGTGGTTCTCAAAGTGCCCCCCACTTTGAGAACCACTGGATTAAGATAACGTCTGAGTATTGTCATCAACTGATAAATAAAAGCAATTATTGGGTTTGGAAGCGCAAAAAAAAGTGAATAGGTGGACCTTTAATTTTGTCTAAGTATTTAAAAATGTAGACAACACTACAGTCCCTCTGACTTTTTTAAAGAGGCCCTATTATTCTTTTTGCGGTTCTCCCTTCCCTGTCGTGTGTTATATACTGTAGGTATTTGTTTATGTAAATGGTCTGCAAAGGCTAAAATCCCAAGTTGAAGGGACATAGGGTGAAAAGAGCTGCTGCAGCACAGGCAGTATGAGAAAAATAAAGACCTTTTTGAACATTAAAGCATGGGGACATGTCACAGTAGAGACACACTATGTAAATATGAACCTGCAAATGAGCAGAATATGTTGTTGTCTGTGAGAGCAGACTTGTGTGTTTATTGAATAAAAAAACGTAAGTTTTGTATGTACAATGTGGTTTTCAATGTGTCTAAATAAACAATGCATCTCAGGAAGCAAGGTTCTTTATTGTACTTCTCATCTGAGGGTTGAAGTGAACTGTGTCAGCCCTGAAGTGACGGCCTTTGTGTCTTTTAAATAAACTAACATTTTTCAACAGAGGACACAAGTGGATGAGACAGTCTGTTTAAAAAAATCTATGACAAGTATACGAAGATGCAGCTCAAGATAGGAAGAAGGTTTGTCATTAGTTCTTCAGTGCGTGAGCATGATTGCAATGTGAAACCAAAACTACCCTGATGGAATGTATACAATTTAACAAACACACAAACTTTCAAGCGTGAAAAGGATCTTACAGATGCCGGTTTGCGTAGATATGTGTAACTTTTACTGTATTTAATGGGTCAATATTCATTTATAAGTTGCAGCTGCTATAGGTTACTCTGAGTGACATCTATAGTCATGTATAATTCGATAAACAGCAAAACATGCTGCTTTAAGGCAACTCTTTCATCATAAAAAGCTCCACTAGCTTTACATTTGCTGTGCAATCACTACTATGCATCTTCACCATTTATAGATAGATATAGAGTGAAAGTATAAAAGTTGAAGAGTGAAGGCAAAGGAAATGAGGATGGTTGATTACTGGTGCAGTGATTCTCTGAGGATGAAAGGCTTTTATTAAAAGCAGATGAGAAGAATGCATGACAACTACTTCCTCTCATTGCTCGTATTTTTCTTAGTGTCTCTCTGCCTCTCAGTCTGCCACCCACCTCTGGGATTTGCATGTCATATTGAGAATGGATAGAGTGTACCTGAGAAGTTTACCTAACTAAACATCTTGAAGTACAGCTTGTCCATTTAGATGAGATGCAATAAAGAGAGGGAAAGACACACAGCCTCCCTCTGTCTGTCCTTTCCCTATAAAGGAAATTAGTTGCTTTCCTTCCTAACACTGACTCAACATTCTGAACATTCTCCTTGTTATTGTTTTGCCTAATATGTTTTTGGCACAAAGCAACATTTATTCTATACTTTGCCACATGGATAATAGATTAGCATTAAGACATTTGTGGTTCAGTTTGTGACCCGCAACATAGATTTCAAACGCCAAGCCGATAGAGTTTATTTAACATTTTAATTCAAACTAACTTAAATGATAGAAGTCTGTGTGGGCTAGCCTCACAATGGGCCGTAGGACCCAGTACTCCCCCGCTAAACTAAAAGGCAAATGTATAAGTTAAACTAATAAATAATATTGTGTTGAGTATGTAAGTCGCTTTGGATAAAAGCGTCTAACAACAAGTAACATGTGATGTAATGTAATATGGTGATTAGGTGAGATCAGGAACACCTGAGCAGAGCTGCAGAGCAGATCAGGTGCACCTTTGCAGTGAGGAGAAGGAGAACAAAAGGTGGGAGCGCATAACAATTAAGTATTTTTGTAAGCCGGCCCGGAAGTTAGCAACAAGGGCTTCCTCGACAACAAGCAATGTTTTTCTTCCATTGGATTGAAATCCTATCTGTAGCAAACAGACGTTTATGACACTTAGAGGTTTGGTTCTTTTTCTAAGCTAAAGGCGGACTTCTGTTCCACATGACAGCGTTTAGTAGTCTCATTTAGTCAACTGTTAGCAACCACTGTTTGCTTCGGACACTCAACAGTAAGATATTTACTGGCATATTCTATGTCGTAGAATATCTTTTTCCTTTCTGCTCAAGTTAACCACAGGCCTTATATCAGAACTCTAAACGAAACACGTTTAAAAACTGTTGACAAGTGAAGCGGAAGTGGTAAAATGCTTACTCATGTCCAGATTTCAGTACTTGTTCCACTCCTTTGCAGTTGTTATCTCACATGCCTAATATATCTTGTGAATCAGATTTTGGTTGCAAGTGATGCTTAATTCATGATGCCAGAAGCAGCTTTCATCCTTTGTGATTTTGCACTTGAGTGTATTCTGATTTCTCAGAAGGTTCAAACTCTGTGAATTAGAGAATTCACATGTGTACTCCATGTTCTTGCCAGTATATCAAGTTTCAATTTGATTTCTTTTGCCACTTCTGTCTCATCTGATCAAATGATCTGCCTCCTTTTTCTCACCTCTCTATCATGTGCAGGGGCGCTGCATCACAGACGCACTAAGATCTAATTTCTGCTTCTGCCAATGATCATAGCCTGTCATGTCTGTTTAAACAGAAATGAAATGACAGCTGTCATGAGGTTTATTAACAATGGAATGCAACACAATACAAAGAAACACGATCCATACATGAAAGCATCCCAGCTAGCGGGGAACGTTCTCACAACTTTGGCTAACGTTACCTTTTGGTTCTAATACGGTTTTAAAGAAACATTTTAATCTGATGTTCAAATAACCTTTTTAGGATGTTTATTTGTTCAAATAATGTTCCTATAAGGTTTAAGGTTAACTAAGACATAACGTTTTAACTGCAACATTCAGAGGATGTTTCGAGGATGTTATTAAGGCCTGAGATGACAGAA